TATCTCACTTATCTTAGTTCTATTGTTTGGAGAAATACAGACCAAGTCTCTTCCATCTTCCTCCTTTGAGCATTTAAAGGCAACTTTTATGTCTCTTTATTTTTCTGATCTTCATATTGAATATTATCATTTTCTTCACTATTCCCCCCATGACATAGTTCCTAGACACTGCAAATAAACCACAGTCATAATCTGACTTAAAATTTTTCCTAAAGAGAATGCAAAGAAGAGATCTGAAGGTTCATTTGCTTCTCATTTATTTATATCTGTAACTGACATAATTGGAAGGACTATCTGAAACTCACTGGTCCACCCAGGAGCTGTATCTGTACTACCTGCCCTTCTTGCGCGCGCGCGTACACACACACCCCAGTCATGGGATGGTTCTGTGATACAAGGTGGATCAGAGAACCTCATCTCCCTGGCCGCACTGATTGGCTGAAAGAATAGTCACAAGTTCCAACCTGGACTAATCAGAGTCATCCCCCAAGATTTCAAACTGGAACTCAGAGAAGACCTGCTTTCCTCTCAGCTTGTGGAGCTATTAGACATGACAGCCATTTACTCATTTCACAGAATAAGACAATTTGAGAGAATGCGGTCAAGATGTAAAAAAAGTGTGGGGAGAAAGACCACAAATCTCCAGTTCCAGTCATTTTTGAAACCAACTCTACCCCTACTTTTCCTATTGTCTGGTTATAAAGCCAATAATTCCTCTGTGGCTGAACTAAGTTTGAGTTAGGTTTGTACCATCTGCAGTACAGAGGGTATTGTCTAATATAGAATTCATAAGGTTCCAACTGCTCTCACAGGACCAATAGAACGCAGATCATAATAGAGAAAAATTGCCAACCCACCCTACAAAAGGTTTGGATGGAATCTCTTTCCAGGACTATTTAAGAATGAGAGCAATACTCACCAAAGATCAAGGTCTATTTTCCTTAATAACCTAAGTTTATAGGCTGATACTATTTGTCTAAAACTGTATTCCTAGAACGATCATAGTGCCTGGCATATAGTAGGTGCTTAAGACACTTTCTACTATATTTTTAATAATAAACAAAAGAAACAGTAGCCAAAACATTGAATATACATTACTAAAATGAAGACCTGAGTGCCCTGGGGAAACCTTAGACAAATCAGCTCACTTCCTTAAAGTCAGTTACCCACTTGCCATATAAACTGTGGGACTAGATTATCTCATCAGTCTTTTTTACTCATAAAATGTCATGATTCTATCCATATTCACCAATGGCAAAGAAAAGTCTAGTAAAGACCTGGGCATGCAGACAAAGGAGGAAAGCATACAGTAATAAAGAAATATGTAATTGGGGGAAAAAAGCAAAAGAAAAGTAATGGGAAGAAATCATCAGAGATATGATAAAAGTGGTCATCAAATATGCTATCTTCCTATTAGTTTCCTATCTTATTCTAACCAATTTCTGTGGTCAGAAATGCCCTCTGTGCGGGATCCAAACTGCCCGTCACCGAGCCTTGCCCTTCCTGGGTTCATAAAATCCATATGGTGGTTCCTTCAACTCCACCATGCATCTCCGTTTAGTGCTGGCCTCCCACTTCCCACCTCCTCTCTCACCATGCCAGTCAGTGTTTCTTGTCACCAACAGAAGACATATCCAATTATATTGTGTGCCACCCATCCTTGTCTCCCATCCTGTTCCCTGAAGACTGACGCCCAAACGATGATAATTTTCCACTTATTTCTTATGTTTGGAACTTAGCATTCTGTCTCAATACAATCATAAAATGGCATTTCTATAAATTGTGACCCATTTACACTGGGTAGCTCTACGGACTGACTTCAGATCCTCTTATGAAAGAAGGCCTTGATTCAGGAAAATATTATTACAGTTAACAACTGATGTCTCAATATCACTATATACCTGCATATTAAGTACTATATGCCAGCATATTATACTATGAATAAACACTATGCTAAGCATTTTGTATGCATTTTCTTAGTTTTCATAACACCTGTTAGAGAAGTACTAATTATTACTTATGCTTTAAAGATGAAGAATCTGAGGCTCAGCAGGAGTAACTTACTTCTGGTTACACAGTTAGTAAGCACAAGAGCCATATCCATCTGACTCCAGAATCCCTGCTCTGACCCATTACATAATTCACGAGAGCACTGATCTCTGTGAGAAATGGGGATGGGACATCTTCGAGGGGACCAAAAGAAATTAAAGAACTGAAGTCAACATGATCTACTTCTCAATCTTGCTTAGAGTCAGTCCTATCTGAAGAACCTTGTTCTCGTTATGTATTAATAGATTATCTGCCATTTTGCATTGTGGAAATGCACCCTCCATTATCCAGGCTAATGTGGTTGGCTGTAGAATGCCGTACACAGACATTCCAATGGCAGACAACTAATTCTATCTCCTGTATGAGGAAGATGCTACTGAACATCTCTTCAACTTTTTCCCTATAGATTTTTATGCACAGCAACTCACATAAACCACAAATATTCTGTCCTACAGCATCTCGAGAAGAAAAGTAATTGAGAATACCAGGCTGGGGAGAGAGGATAAAGAAAAAAAGGAAGAAAGATTATAAAAAGTGCTATTCCCCGCCAAAAATAGAAACATTACCACAAAAATTAAAAATTAAAAAAAAAGCAAACTAGCGCAGGCTGGTTATCTGATAACTTGTAATTCAGGAAGAAATAAATGTTCGTGGTCCATTGTTAAACAAAGAAAAGCATTGGACTGTGCAATAGAACTGCATGTTCAAATAGCAAAGGTGGAAACTTCCTACGTCATAGAGTAGAAAGATAGTGAGTTTTTCTATAGAAGTGAGACCTTGCTGCTTCAATCTATATTAGGTCTGTAGCAGCAGCATCATTTCATCACTAAGCCAAAATTTCATTACTTTTAGATTCCATAATCTCTAATTCTTCCAAAATCTTCATCTACTCACTAAGACTTTTGTAAACATCAATAGAAAATACTGCTGATCCCTACTGAAGGGTCATTAAACGTTTCTATGTGATAATCAAAGTCTCTAGTTTTGGTGAAATATTAGCTGGGATTCAGACTAGCAAACTCTTTGGGGTCATTCTCTCTTACTGAAATAACAATTTTGTTTGTTAGGAAGTTTGGAAGTAATAATTGAAAAACTGTTTTATGGCCAAGTAATATATATAGTGCCAGCCAGGTGCTGGATTGACTGGGGGGATCACTTCATAAATTATGTGGATGTCTGACCATTGTGCTTTAACTAATATAAAGTAATGTAGGATGTCAATTGTAATTGAAAAATAAAACATAAATAAATAAATAAATAGTAAGTAAAGTCCTAGATTTGATGAAGACCTGGAAAATAAGTTCTATGTATATATATTTAGAGAGAGAGACAGACAGACAGACAGAGACAGAGAGACAGAGAGACAGAGAGACAGAGAGACAGAGAGACAGAGAGACAGAGAGACAGAGAGACAGAGACAGAGACAGAGAGCGCGCAAGCGAGCGCACGAGAGCCAGAGAGCAAGAGATACATTTAAAATACAATTACTAGCACCTCTGAAATAAATTTTAAAATAAAGCCTACCTTTCAATTAAAAAAAAAGAAAAGAAAGACTGTTTTAAGTTAAAATAGAGGAGCAGGCTTTAAAATATTATACAATTAGAAATATTTAAAAGTAAAGGCTCCTTAAAATATACTAAGGAAAGAGCCTAATGCTTTCATTCCAAGTCTAACCAATTTCCATTAAACAGAGAAAGAAGCAGAGAGGAGAGGAAGCATTTGAAAAACTGCCAGAGTAAAAAAAAAAAAAAAAAAAAATCCCATAATGAAATTTTGCTCATTCTTGGAGAAATGAAGTAGAATTAGATGCTTCAGTGATGGTGAATTCCGGAATCTGGGTAGCTGCCAGTAAATGAAGCTTTTCCATAATGTCAAATGCAAAAGCTATCTGATATCAACATATTGAGCTTGAGTTTTTAAATTCCTATTTCCTTACACCAAATTGTTTGAAACCTTTGAGATAAAAACTTCAATAAAGTAGTGTTTCAAGCTTTTAATACTTTAGTCCCTTGAGCAAGCATGTCAGATTAATCTTCAAATTGCAATGGGCAGAAAGAACATTCAACCAAATTCTTAAGCCCATGCCTCTCTCAGAGGATGTTAATAATGTAAGCAGTTTCATTGGCTATTAAGATGTCAAACTTTCCTAATTTTCAACAGTATTACTATTTAAAAGGGGAAGGGAGGAAGAAGGCCATTCTCTCCTGAAAGGAAGAAATTTTACTTACTATATTTTTGTATCCACTTAGCATTTAGCACAGTGCTAGGCACAGAGCAGGCATTTAACAAATGCTTTTGGAATGAGTTGATGGATTGGCCTTGGGGAGAGTGAAAATCTTGCTTAGAACAGCATGAGTCAAAATCCTGGCATTGCTCAGCAACAAAAACCATCTCCAGAATTAGGGTTATCGAGGTAGAGCAGGAATTTGAATGTGTATCTTCAAAGTGCCATCAAGAGAATTGTTTCCAGAGCTGGCAAGCAGCCACCCAAGAGCCACTTAAAGAGGAATTAGACTTCCCTCAAGCTTCACCTTGCCTGGAAAACTCCCGCCCTGCCTTTCTACGCCGAGCTCCTTCTGCCTTTACTGGGTTTGGGTTTCCACTCACAGCACTTAGGTCCAAGATTCAACCTCGTTTATCTAACCCAGGCCTTCTCACCATTCCACGGTTTTCTGAACGTCCGCTCCGAGGGACGCCACACCGTTCTAGGCACAAGGAAGGACACACAGGACGGCTCCGGACACCTTTGAAGGTGAAAGGGGAGTGGTGGGAAGCAATGGGGGTAGGGGAGGAGCGAGTTCAAGACTAGGGCACTATCCAGAGGTTTCTTGTCCCCTTCCCAAAGCCTCTGCCCCAACTGCTGTAAAACGCTGGG